GATTCTAAATGAGCCAAAAAGCAGAGACAGGAGCAATTGTCAACATTTTGGTGTCGATCATTCGATTTCATCCTGGACACTACAGAAAATGGGCTTAAAGTGTTAAAAAGTGAACTTCTCCTTTAATGTCAAACACCTTCAACCTTTGGGTACAAACATGTTAGTTCTGAGAGACTGAGACCCACAGACGGTGCTGAATAACAGCGAGGATTAGTAAAAAATACTGTGAGAAGACAAGTATTTGAACACCCGCTAACCTTTGACCTCTGGAACTGCAAACAAAGGCTACTATACCAAATATTAACATTGATTTTCTCAGGTGTTCAAATACTTATTTACAGCAGCATCATAAAAATAAATAGTTAAAAAAAATACATTGTGATTTCTGGATTTTTAAATTTAGATTATGTCTCTCACAGTGAACATGCACCTACCATGACAATTTCAGCCCGCTTCATGATTTCTAAGTGGGAGAACTTGAGAAAATTATAGAAGCTTATAGAAGCAAAAATTATAGACAGCAGTGGTGACCCTCCAATATTTGTTCACTGTGGTTTTCTCGAGAAAACAAGTAAATTTTTTATTATCTAAAGATAACGAAAGCCATATTCTCGTGATAACGAGATGATTGGTGTAAGTTAAAACTGATTACATCCTTCAATACCACAACAATTCAATTCAATTCAGTTTATTTATATAGCGCCAAATTCACAACACATGTCATCTCAAGGCACTTTACAGTTCAACCAGCGGGAGAGGGTTTATTAGTCTAACTCATGGCAGCCTATGTGTAATTGGTGTAATTGACGTTGTTGGTTTGATAATTTGCTTCCACTCCTGATTCATAAGCAATTAGACCTAAGCCTCCAGCGCCGTAGCACCGGGTGTCTTCTGAACAGCCCTGGTGTTACACCTGTAACAGGTGCAAGAAGCTTTAACCCCAAAATCAGTCCAGGGTTTGTTTTTTTCATTAAAAAACAGCAAGGTTTGTTTCCACTGTATTCCATGTAATCCAATCATCTACTACTGACAATGAGTGAAAAGAAAAAGGAAACAAAAAAACTGATTATTTGCGCACAAGCGGCACCGCAACTGCGCAACTACGGGCTCAGCAGGCATGGATGGACTGGGAATCATCATTCATTACTCATACAGGTAAGTTATCTCATTATCTTGAGAAATCAATAACTGTTTTCTTGTGATAACGAGATAATCATCTTGTTATCTTGAGGAATTAATGGTTTAACTGTAATAACGAGATACTACTAGCTTTACTAGTGGTTCCTAGAATTTCTAAAAATAGAATGGGAGACAGATCTTTTAGTTATCAGGCTCCTCTTCTGTTGAACCAACTACCAGTTTTAGTCCGTGAGGCAGACACCCTGTCTACTTTTAAGGCTAGGCTTAAAACTTTCCTTTTTGATAAAGCTTCTAGTTAGAGTGGCTCAGGTTATCCTGAGCTATCTCTATAGTTATGCTGCTATTGGCTTAGACTGCTGGAGGACATAGGGACCCCTTTTTCATCATTCTGCTTGATTCTATCTCTATTCTCCCACTCTGCAGAATCTGTTAGTTCAAGCTCTAACGTTCTGCTCTCTCTGCTTTTTCTCATAGTACCTTCATCTGGTCTGTTCCTGTTTGGCTGTGACTCCATCCTGGAGAGAAATATCAGCTGTGCTGCTTCCATCAACACACTTGTTTCTAGATGCTGTAGATCGGCCTGTTTTCCAGTGTGGTCCTGTTTCTCTGACTGTGACTGGCTGGATGTGCTCTCTTCATCCTCTGACATGGGAGCTGGCTCGGAGCTCGTCTGCCTGGCTGTGTGTTTCCTGGACGGGGCCGCCTTTTACAGCTGCTTTTTGTATCTCTGCTTCTGTCTACTTGAACCCCAGTCGGCCTCGGCAGATGGCCGCTCACACCGAGCCTGGTTCTGCTGGAGGTTTCTTCCTGTTAAAAGAGAGGTTTTCCTCTCCACTGTCGCTACAAGCATGCTTAGTGTGAGGGATTGTATTTGAGTCAATGAGTCGATGCAATCAACTGGTTTTCCTTTGATAGAAAACTTTTAATCAATCTGACTGGATGATCTGGTGAACTGTAAAGTGCCTTGAGATGACGTGTTGTGAATTGGTGCTATATAAATAAAGTGAATTGAAATTGAAAATTAAATTATCTCATTATCTTGAGACATCAATAACTGTTTTCTTGTGATAACGAGATAATAATTTTGTTATCTTGAGGAAACAAATAATGGTTTAACCGTGATAACGAGATCGTTATGTCATTATCTCGAGAAGGCAAAGGAAAAAAAAAAAAAAAGTCGAGTACGACCGCTTTCGGCTTTGGTACAAAATAGAATACTTATTTTCCCCACTATAAATGTGACTTTGTACTTTGTACTTATTTCTTTGATGCACCTTTTCTTTGTTTTGCACCTCCTTCTGTTGTCTATCAGAAATTAATGTCACAAGTGAATTTCTCTGTTGTGAGAATAATCAAGTTCTATCTCATCTCATCTTATATATGAACAAAATTGAAGCATTGTTTTCCATTTCGGCCCCCTTTACTCTGATACCCTGAAATACAATTAGATCTCGTCAGAAGTTACCTAAATGCATCAGTTACTCCACCAGAGCTGTTTAAATTCACAGCTTATTCCAAAAGCATACGGGACAACAGCAAAGAGGAAAGGAAGAGGCCACAGAATATTTTGGAGTATGTGTAAAAATCGTTGTGTGGCAATAATGAATCCTCATAGTATCACAGTACAGACCTAGTTTTCTTCTCTTGAGGCTGGGGAGGTGTGCATCCAGCGCCTTGGCCTTCTGAGCGTGGTGGCCTCCAGAGGAAGAGCAGGAGGAGAAACTGGAAGTGCTGGAAGATGATTCTGTTGGAAACGTTTCTGGTGCAGGCGCCTTCACTACAACAGGCCTCTGGAACATAAAAAAACAACCACACTGATGCCTCAGGTCACAGCAAAGAACCATAGTACCATCGGTTCTAATTAGTTTACAGTTACATGGAAACGTAAAAGAAAAACACTCTTTAATGAGTAAAATCACTCAAACAAACTAAACGTACTATTTTCTGTGCAACCCGGAAGAACTGAGACACATCACGGACAATGTTTCCAAATCCGTCATAATGGCGAACGTAAGGCTTGACCCACGATGGAAGCTGTGCTCTGGCCTCAGAGCTTTTAAATCTGCAGAAGAAGAAAAAAACAAAATAGTATTCTGTTCTAGTTTTAGATTAAATGCTTTTGACGAGAAAGAAACCTGATAGGAGACCAGATTCACATACATTTCCGCCTTTATGCACCTAAATGGGATCTAGACTTACAGTGAGTCTTCTTATACTTATTTTAAAGAAAGTTGCACAACTGAAATACTGAAACCAACCTTATGTCATAACTTAACAGAAAGACATCAGTGAAACTAAACTAACAACATAAAAATGATCAAAGAACACATCAGTGTAAAATCTGAAGTCTTGCTTTTATTCCTGCTTTACATCCAAAGAGTCAGACTGCTGTAATCTGTAAAGCTCCTCTCACACCTTGACTATTTAGACCAGCGTATGCCTGATAGGGTTGTGAAAAGTATCGATAGTGAAACGTTGTATCCGGATACAATACTCATTTTCAAAAGTATCAATACAGTGCCACCACCACTGGCACTTAAACAGTCATTCATCTAAAGTGCAGAATAGAGGAAAATGCACCTTCTGAACACTGTGTAATTGAATAATTAGATTAGATTAGATGAGCTTTATTGATCTCACAGTGGAAAAATTCACTCGTCACATATTCAATTCAATTCAATTCAGTTTATTTATATAGCGCATGTCATCTCAAGGCACTTTACAGTTCAATCAGATCATCCAGTCAACCGCGGAAACCGCGGCAGACCAAACCAGACCAAAGTGCGCATTCAGCTCGGCAAAGAACTCATGCTCTTCCTCAACACTGAAGTCCTCAGACATTTTTCTTTCGTTGTTTCTTTCTTTGCAC